TCACTTCAACTTTGGGAACGTTGAAAACTCATCATACGTGATCATCGCCAAAGAGTTTGTTTGAAGTGGCTCGTAAACCCGGCAGGATGACTGTAAAGTGGCATGTTTCTTTGCTTCTGACATAATCACGGAGACCACTTACAAGAACATAAGCTGAAATATGCACCCATATGAAATGAGTAAAACCATTCCCTCCGAAAGCAAATATTAGCCGTCTCAAATCTATCCTGTGGAAGGTCTGAGATGTCAGATCTGTAGCGATTTGAAGCTGTTCTTCACACGTTTCATGCTGGGAAGCAACACAGCAGTTTGATTTAAAGAGAACCATTTCAATTTACAATGTCAAAGAGATCTACCAAAGCCAACGACAGCGGTACTAATGCAAAGCCAATCTGGTAGTAGCAGAAGCTTTTATTAACTTTTGTTTCAGCTTTTGTCTGACTTTTTTAACATGTCGAAATCAAAGCGATGTACAGTGTCCAAACCAGTTTGCTCACGATCTAGATATTACCACGGAGCCGAGCCACGGCGCCATTAGGCAATCAACCGCTGTAGTTGTAAGAATTAATCCACCGGCTGATTAACCAGTGAAGCACATGGTTTCGTTTCACTTTCAATTAAGCACAGACGTATTCATCTTCACTGAATGGAGTCACCAAACGGGATGGTACGTCAGTCTGCCATTGAAGTTGACTGTTGCTGGCGAATACAAAGAACTATATCCTTATATAATATGAGAACCTTGATACGATCGAAATTTACGGCAATCGATGTCTTAATTGCTCATAATTCGATTTATTAAGGGAACTCTAGTTACGTTTAACCGATTTCGTTATTTCTTTCACAATCCCAGTATAAATGTCGACGCCAGACTGTAACCATTCTCCATTATCTGCTCAAATATATGGACGTAAAGGGTAACTTATCGATTGAATTGTGAACAAATGAATATCGATGATGACACCGGGTGTTCGCGTGGACCAGCAAGAACAAAGGCCCCTAAAGAATTGGAATAACGACCGTGAATGTTCAGGGTTAATACACCTGTTAACACGTAGGCCACAAGAGTATTTTTGGATGTGTGTTATACGAATGGCGGACCAGTTTGTTCCAGTGGTCAATTGTAACACATGTTATATTTGGGATTACACTTTCACAGTAAAGTACATATTCTAGTACTTTGGGCTGCTGAATCTCATCCGGGCTTTAAACCAACATGTTTTGCTTGCTGGCAATTGGGTGCCTTAGTCTAAGACTGTACTTTAATGAGAAAGTGTAATCCCAAATAAAACACTGGTTACATGTATGTAATAGATTATGTTGAAGTCTCGATAATATGACACTGTGAAGAAATTGATACGTCATACCACAGACCACACTGTCTCAATTTCCTGTCGAAGCAGATTCCACTGGGGTTAAAAGGCTAAACAGTCAATGGATTTCTGAAAATCAGTGTTGACACAGGTGTTCTTCTAAAAGGATAAGTATGTCTCTGTTTATTGAAGCAAGACCAAATTTGCATGATAAATGTTTTTCCCTAACGCCGTACAGACATACTCCCGCCATACGGAGGCGGTCTGCAAACAATCAAGTCTTGGTTAGACATTCAAATGACAGTGGACCAGACACTCCATGACTCGACGTGTTTACTGATTTTGTGAGGACTTAAAAATTATATGTAAATTCTGAATTACGTCTGCTGCATACAAGAGCAGAAATTCTGCAGCTTAGAATAAAGACGAACACTTACGATATATCCTCGTTTAGGAAAGCAGGATGGAAAGTCACGACATAACGATAGAAACGAAATGTTGAATTGTCTAATCAATTAAAGGTTGACACATTCAGTGTTCCTTGCAAATGTTTTTACCTCACAACATTAAAGAATATCGATAAAGAGTAAACAGAATCGATTCTGACTGTAAATGAAAACTCAAACTGACAGTCCCTCATGCCGGGTTCTATAAAAGATAGAAAAAAGGCGGAAATTAAATATTCAAGCAATTTAATTCACGCGAGATTATGGTGTAATTGTTAGACTAAAATTATTGATAATACAGTTCTCCATGACTTCGTTCTGCCTAATAGTTTCAGTTCCTCTCCGCGAGATTTCGGAACAGAATCGGTTCCAAGCAACCTGTGATTTCTAATAAGATGTGGGCTAATGTACATGTCAGACTCGATCAATTGGTTCATTGTGTGTCATCGTACCCGTCAGCGTGGACGTGGCTTACGACAATGCTTTGCTTGGTCGAGACCTCTTAATCACAGACCGCTGATCCAACCGGAATGTTGTTGAATACAAACTCAAAGAAACAAAGATTAAACTGTTTCATTGTTATCGCAAAGATACGCGCGCCATCACTTCACAGTGCGTGGACGTTTCAATAACAAGAATCCTCTGTGACCTTCAATGAAGAACATAACCTCTGATGTGATGTAGCACCTACTGACTTCATATGCCCGAACTAAGACAGACATATATCGAGTGGATGTGGATGTTACTTCGACAGGGAATCGGCAAAATCCTCTTATAATCATATGATATATTACACCACAAAGAAAATGTACAATTTGTTTTTTTCTCTCAGCATTCAATGTTTCCTGTCTCCACAACTCATCAATCGAAATTGTCTTTTCTTACAAAGCACTGCTGCTAATCTATATTTATTTCTCGAAAAGAACGATGTTACGTCTTAAACATCCTTGCAATATGTCTAGACAACCCACATATATGGTGACATGTAACTGAATATGTCTCAATGAATGCAAAAGGCCGTTGATTGATAGCTCACACTGACAAGTGTCGTGTTACAAAAGTACCAAACGCCTCCTCGTAAAAGTAATACACCGATCCTGTTCCGAAATGACACAGGATGCGTGTAGGTGTTTCTCAATCATCTAATGGTAATGTGAATGAGTTAATGACAAAGTTATTTCTTTTAGGTTTCGTTGCGAATGAGGAAAAAAACACAAATGGATAATGTCTCAGATATGCGTCACCTTGGTGGAACCAGAAAGCAGGACAGCCTATAAATTTATTATCAGGGTGAACCACGGGATTACCGAATCCTGGTACGACTAAGGAACATGATCAAAGACATCAAGGAAATCCGTTCACCGTGTGATAATGCATGCACTAAATGTTAAACACCTTAACTGATTGTTCTGTGGTTAAACTAACCGACTTGGTTTAAGGTAACTGGACACCGACATCCATTGCCTTACAACTGAAATGTATTGGACATAAGAAAAAGCATTTACCCATCATTACAATGCCTTCAACAACCAATGTATGATGACATTCTATTTCGATAATAAGTACGAACTAATAAAGGAACTGGGCCCCGTTTCACAAAGCTATCGTAAATCTACGACTGTCGTAAGTCTATGTTACAGTAGGAGGTACGACAGTCGTAGCGCTACGGGGCGGCGGGGTAGCCTAGTGGTTAAAGCGTTGGCTCGTCACGCCGAAGACCCGGGTTCGATTCCCCACATAGGCACAATGTGTGAAGCCCATTTCTGGTGTCCCCCGCCGTGATATTGCTGGAATATTGCTAAAAGCGGCGTAAAACTAAACTCAGTCAGTCAGTCAGTCGTAGCGCTACGATAGCTTTGTGCAACGTGTGTGAGCTTCATCATCACTGGAGACCGCCCTTTCAGTAATTGAAAAAAAACTACTTTCCTAATGGCAACAGTAAAACCAACAAAATTGCATACTGCCGGAAGGTCATCCTGTTTAGTCAACAAGAACTCATCCACTGAGATTTGAAGCGACTATTTTCGCATTTTAAGATTAAGGAAAAACATCAAATCGTTTTTTTTGAAAGACCACACTACTTATACTGTTGTTGCTTGCTGCTGCATCAGTGACAGATCAATGGGAAGTTTCACTGTCTCATTCAAGAGTTTCTTTGAGGGTATTCAGCTACATGCGTGATAAAGGATCACTGTGCAAATCATCAAAACGCAACAAAGACACTTTATGTTGCGTGTTACTATACTGGAGGCATGGAAGGAGGAAATGGAAGCTTTGCCTTTGTGTTTGCTACGCACATGTATGTAAGACTTGACAGTGGTTTGTTTGACACTGTTGCTAGGGAACATGTAAGGGATGGCTGGCGAATCTAATTCACATGATAAAAAATATCCACATAAACAGAAACTACCCAGAACGTATGCCCACAGGTGCTAAGGTTCTGATGTAAATCTTGTCCTGTTTATTTCGTGGTATATTCGACAAGCATGGAAGCTCTGCGAGTAAACATTAAACTCCTGTCATCTCACAATAAGTTCCACAACGCACCAGCAGTAGTTGTCTTTGCTGTTTAACATACCGTGAGTCTGGGGAAGGCTCAAAGTGGTGACTGTGTTCACGGAGAAGGAACAACGCGGTGTACAACTATATTCACTTTTTCGACGCTTTCGCTAACTATTTAAAGCTAATGACCCTGATCGAGAGGTCTAGGGAGAAATATATGAGCATTGCGTGTATAGCACTTCTAAATTTCCCCAACCCTGTCTCCTCTACCATCTGAGACAGCTTAATCGTTATCTGTCGTATATATTTTTAAACAGACCAGAACAAAACGGTGCTTGGTAATGAATATTTAACATCACAACCAAAATCCGAACATGCCTAAAATCGCTAACAGACTTCATTATTGCAAAACTCTTTTTTCCGAAATATTTTATGTCTAATTTGTTTAACGTTGAACGAAAAATAATTATTCTCACTGATAAAGAAATATTTTCAAGAAAGAATAATAACATCTAGACGGTATACATTCTTCCAAAGCTAAAACCATTCCGAATTGTTTTCACAGTACCTTAAGATTATCATCATTCGAATGAATCATCTCCAAATCACAAACACGTCATAATGGTGTGCCTAACTTACAAAATCCTCACCCTCAACACAGCATAAGACAACTTAAATATCAAAGTCAGAAAAATGATTTGAGAAAATGAATCTTAAGCGACAAGAGAGTACAACTTACTTTAGTCTGTAAAGGCAACGTCGGTCTTTGAAGAGGGAAGAAACTAGTAGAGTAAAATCGCTGCGAGCCTAGAACGTGTGTATTATCCCACGAATTGTTGATCCCGTGTGTTCCTACCTACCATCCCAGTTCAGCCCTAGTTCTAACAACTCGCCCACAAGTCTACCACCGACAAGTCCTTCCCATTCATGGTATAACCTCTGACCCCCAGCAAGTAGCGTTTCCCACTTGGATCAATCAATTCGCATGACATTCAGGCTAATTCCAACTCATAGTGGGGCGTGGTCTTTTAATACCGCCTAGCCAATCAAGTTATTGAACGTAATTCGCGTCAGGTTTGGTGTGGGAGTATTCAGTTTATAGACCCCCTCCCTCCTCCCATCCCTCCCCCTCTCAGCCACCCCCCTGACGTTTCCGTGGCACCCCTGAAATTCCGTTGTAACTTACAAACGAGGAAACCTTCGATATTGACTGTATGAGTGAGCGTGTGTTCCATTGATTGGGATAAACTACCATCAGCAACCGACGTGGACATTTCACAATGCTTTTACCATCATGGTCAAGAAACACGTATTGCGGTACTGTAGGCTGAAGTTTTTAACCCGACGGAAGCCACGTTTTCAGGCGAGTAATAGGGATACATATTCAAGCTTCCAACGTACCAACGTCCTTACCGTCATCCAACACTGAAGTAAATTTACTTGGATTTAAAAGCTAAATCGCATTTTACTAACATTAAAAAGGCATTACCAACGTTCGCATCGTGATTAAATGATGTTCTTCTTAACATCAACATATGTTGCGGGCGGTCTCCAAAAACCATGCTGCAGCCATCGATTTTTATGAAGCTAACGCACCACTCAGACAGCAAACAGTTCGTGCCACCGCTTCGGGATTTATGGTTGTCTGTTTGTCGACCAGGTTTTTGCCATGAAGCATACCATCGTTCGTGGCATATGTACATGTCATGTAAGTTCCCAAAATATTAAAACCCTGTAGAAACTTGATGGAAATGAAACTGTCTATATTCATCTGCTTGAAATTTCTCAGCGATGGGCACTCACAACATTAAGGTACTACCGATTTATCATCCTTTTAGGAACATTAATCATACTATAAGTGCCGTTCGCCACAGTTATACATGAAACGTTGTGCATTTTAATGCTCACACATTTTCAATTTCTCCTCACAGGTCACAATTAGATTACTTTTTGGATTTTATAATCAATGCCTTTGCTATCAAGTACAGGATCTTCAACTTTTAGAATTCCGCAAACACTAAATATAGCGACAGAGGCCTTTCCACAATTAAAATACAAGCGACAAAACCCTTTCCACATGTAACGAAATCTACATTCAGTTATGGATGTCAACTTCTTTATTGTGAATAACACGACGTTTCGGAGTATATGCTTGCTCCTTCATCAGGTGTTCGTGTTATTCACAATAATGAAGTTGACGTCCATAAATCTTGCTTTTCTTATGTATTCCACTTCTAAATGCCCTTCAAAGATTTACATTCAGTTGTTAATGAATCATTATCAAATAGTGATGGTAACAGATGTTTTTACGAGGGGTACATTGTTTCCAGGATTACCACTTTAGATACAGTTGTTTCCTACAGAGTGAATGAATATTGTTTGACACCGCTTTGACAACTTGATAACAGCCTTTGGGGGTTAGAGGTGGGCAGTAAACCAGAGGTGAGGCATGTATTACGCAGTTACACCAATGAGAACGTGTATGGCGGTAACAAAACTTCTTACAATACTCACACTTTCGAATTAGCTCTCCGTTACCAAATGGTCTTCAAATAGCTTGTATAGTAGATCAGAGTAGAATTTATTAACACTGTTAATTATACGTTTGTGCTCGTAAGGTGTTAATGTGATCATGAAACTAGCGCTGATGATTTCCATGTCACCATCCTCCAGTGCATTACACAACAGCATTACGCATGACGTCAGTCAATCGTTGACGTGGACTCTTCAGTTTTGAGATAGTGGCCCACGTGCTGGTAAATCACGCCTACTGTCATGTTTAACAGATTCCCATCCCAGAGACAATGGTAACGAGCGTGACGTGTTAACGTTCATCTACATGGCTTGGATGTTCATTAAAACGTCGCTTGTGTTAAATGTTTGCAATTCACGATGTTAATGGTGTGGTTATTCTGACACAAGTCCTATGCCATTTCTTCTGTACCTGTTGAATTTTAAAACAGTAATATGTTTCAATGTACCGAGTACGTCTGGCCTAGACGGTTAAGGAATTCACAATCTAGGGATGCGTGACAGAAAGCCATAGTCGTTGGTTCTATGTCCAGATTTCCTCCGATAATATGTTATTGGTTGATCAACACATACCCGTTCTCGTGGGTTCCACCAAGACGAGCCCTTTGAGTTTTCCACCTACATTATGGTGAGATGTCGTGAACTGATATATTCCACTTAGCTGCCTTTTCAAGACCAAATGTTTGGCGTAGGACGTACAGGAAAAGCGATGACAGATAAAAACTCCGATATTTCATGTAATGTTTTCAAGACAAGACAAGCCTGTACTTATCTGGTTCAAACCTTCAGGCCTTCGGATTGTCGTCACAAGGCTGGATGATTATGATATGATATCTGGTTCCCAACAGAAGTTGCAATTAGTACCTAAGACGAAGGCAAAAGTTGCCTTTCTGTAATTTGAGTAATTGTTAGCTGTTATATGTACCAGCTAATGATTACTACTCTATGACTCTACATACCAGTTTTCCCCAACTCTTAATACTGATTCACTGTGTCAACAACGTTTCCCCCTCCTGTTATACGTGCGAAGTCAATTAGTTCCCAAATACATCCGATACAGTCGATGTCTTACGTTCGAAGTACAGATTCATTGTTTCGCCTGTTCGTAGCAATAACACCAGGTAATTTAACACGACGATATACACTGTCTACGAACTTATCAAAGGTGGTCACATGAGGTCAATCACTTTTAAATTAGGAAAAACGAGTATCGATAAACTATTAAAATTAGAATAATTGGAAAATAAATCACTCTTTGCACTGAATAAAGGACAGGTGGCCTTGTGCTTCATATGAGGACGCTTGAAGAAAGATGTCCGTTCACGTTTCAACTGGCGTTGTGTTTTTTTTGTTTTTTTTGTATTGTTTGCTGCTTTTGTTGCGCTTATTGTTCCAGAATAAGACATGACTATCAAATGGTATGCGTTATTTGCAACGACCCATCTCTTGCAGTGCGATAAAAGGCGATCAACCAAGCCTGACCACTTAGCCCACAAGCATAACAACAAAAGGTCACTTGGGACCTGTTTTTACGACGGGTCACCTGCTGTAATCGCATGATGTCACAGTCATCACTGAATCTATTCATGTTAATACGCTTTAATGTACTGGACCAACCTCTGCGAGGCACGAACGTATAGCTGGTCAAGCCATTCAGCTATTGTGCACTTGTACCAGCTGGATAGTTAATGTAATAGATGGTAAATCAATCAGTCCTAAGCACCAGGCTGATATGTTCCCTGGACATGGTTCATGGATGAATGGTGTCTCCAGATTTCAGGACCTTTTCGCATTTTCTCTGTAGATCATGCAGATCTGCAGAAGACGAGTGGAGACCATCAAGGAACATCAAGCCAACACGCTCAAATTCCTACATTAACTGCAACCACTCCCATCATCCCTGGATACAATAAGCCATCATCACCACCCTCACCAAATCCATTCTTCTATACTGACACAGAGGACAGTGACAGAATCACATCAAGGAAACTGCACCTCGATATACCCGTTCGCTGCATGAATATGAAACCCAGAGTTTCTTTCCTTGGTGTATATCAGTGTTAAATGTCATTCAAAGACATGAGATTTCTTGTGATTGTGGAAGAGCTTTGTCCTTTTTATTTAATGCTGGAGTAATGTACTCTTGTATTTGTTTCTGGCAATGATGTGACTGGCTTTCAAATTGTCTTCAATGTCTCCTGACAGTTGTCATGGCGAAAACTGTTAATTTGAGCAGACATGTTTAATGATACTACTTGCCTTACATATCTGGAAGTATCTTTAATTACTCCTTATCACAACTTGGCGATCAACGGTCAATGCTTTACGCGTACGTTTGGTTTGGCACAATGCTCTTATCCTTTGCGCGCACCTGTTTGTTTGTTTGTTGTTTTACGTCACACTCAGAAATATTTCAGATATATGGTGGCGGTCTGTAAATCTTCGCGTCCAGACAACCCAGTGATAAACAGAATGAACATCGATCTACGCAATTGGGATACGATGACATGTATCAAACAAGTCAGCGAGCCTGACCACCCGATCCCGTTAGTAGCCTCTTACGACAAACATAGGTTGCTGAAGACCAATTCTAACCAGGATCTTCACGGGATGCGTGCACCTGGTAACACTATTTCATGGTCATTCATAAACAAATGATCATGATAATGCCAGAATCGTGCAATCGACTCTGCCATACTGAATTCTTATGTATGTGGTCAGGGTTTTGCCACTTTTATTTAATCTCTATGTTATACATGGTGTCAATAATACGATGGTCTGTGACGACACTCGTACATTACCATCGCCTCGCACTCCTGTTCATGTTCATCTTAATGCCACAGTAATTCTTCTCTATCGACCGTATGTGTTGAGATGGAAAACCAAGAACCTTTCTGATGTACCCACAGACAACATCATGGTCTAATTATCCGTGGTATGGAATGTCATATGGTACGGCGTGGTAATGGCAACACCAGTGTAGTAACCAGTGTATGCCAGCTGTGCCAGTCTCTGGTCCACGGTGACCTTCGCAAGTTTCCTGCAGCTCTATCTGGTTAGGAATTACTTTAAGCAATGCTGACTCGCTTGTCTACCGGTATTAAGTGTCTTCATATCGTTATCGTGAATCAGCGTGATGGGCGTTGTCACTTATTACCGATTGCTGCTCTGAGACACTATGACGCGATAAAAAGATGAAACTGTTAGGCATTACGGTTATGTTCATTCCAAGGACCGCCATATAGCTCGAATATTGCTGAGTGCGACGTTAAACAACCAACCAGCCAATCATTCCAAGGTCTTGGTTCTGACCCAGGCTGTTCAATATATTTGACTAGATCATTTAGTTATGTGCTGGTGTGGTATTAGCCG